CTGTTCATCATTGCAGTACAGGGCCTATCTTTTGCTTTTCGAAGCACTCTGCCTCTTCCCATTGCCCACTGAGGACACGCCAAGACCATACGTTTGATATTTTGAGACGGATATCCACACTGACGTTTTGGATTAATCACTCCGGGGACTTTCCTTCGATACCGATAAGAATTGAGACCAATGTGCTCACTTCTTATCTGAGCTGCAATACTACTTTGGGCCCTACTAAGGTTCCGGTGAATATTTGAGAGTGTGTTTCAGTAGGTAATCCTTTTTCTGACTGTTGTCTCATCTGTAACAATATTTGCGGCTCTCCAATGTTGAGGGTCTGCCGAAGCTCGATGACCAGATACTATCTCGTTCCCTGGACGCGTCCATGTGATTTTGTTAGAAATTTTCAAGGATTTCTAGGAGGAAATATCTCGAAGAACAAGTGTACAATTTCGGACAAGAATTTATTGATAGTTGTGTAGGATATCGAAATCTCTTCTCAATATGAATCAATAATATATAATATTCCGTTAACTTGGTTTAACACGTACAAATAAGTCTATCCTTAAATACCGATCCCCAAGTCTTTAGTGATCCCAAACTCCCAGTGATCTAGCAACAACCAGTATTGTAGTTATGAGCTTAGGTTAGTATCACTATGCATGCTGACCTTGTACGTATATATAGATTGATGAGTTTCAGGTTGTGGTTGAAGGTGTATCTGAGGTTCACTATACTTTAATTGTACTGCACTAATCGTGTACCGAGCACTCGCTACTTATACTCTTGTGCGGCCGCTAATCGGCTCCTGACTACATGAGCTTCCTCCTGCAGATATCACAAACGATACAGCAACTACACAAACAGCGTAAACATCTAATCACGTTATGTACATGCAAGTATCCTAGCTGTACAACATGCCCATCACAACAACCAGCCACTCAATTATCGCAAGGTAGCATTTCCTAGTCACTGCATTTCAGATACCACTGAACCTCATGTCGTATGACTAAGCTTAACCATATGCAATCGGATCAATTGAATTGGATCTTGATGATCATACTGAGAAATCTAAACCTTCACATAAACTAAGTCTAAATTTCCAACAGGAAGTAGTATCGCCCTTCTAGAACCTGTGTCTGATCCTACTGAAGATCATTTCATTCGAACCTCACCACAAACTTTATTACTTACTCTAGTACCAGAAAAACTACTCAACAAGCGAACTCTGCGCCGAAGAGGTCATAGTACTGTTACGAAGCATCTGGTCCGTTATCAAGGGCATACAGTACAATCGGATAATTGGGTCCTTGGTCGCCGGCTAGACGCGAATCTAATAGGAGAATACGAGCAGAATATTGCAATCTCAAGACGATCATCTTAATTGTAAGTAGCTTCGCAGGCGCATAGCACATTTCTGGAAAAAGTGCATGCTTTTGGCAAATTTATGAATCCGGCTTATTCATAGATGACTAAGCGTCTCTGTACAAGTAGACATATCTCTTAGTATTAGATAGCGGACAAGAATATGCATTATTTCATGCCTTTGCAGTGGAAACACATATTGGGATCCAAAAATCCTCTCGCTACTGGATTCAAGCTTTGTGCACCTCCTGCGTTTCACAGTCTAAGGGTCACGGTTTCGGTAGAAAATGCATGGGCAATCTTGCAGGTTCTGCTGCAACAATGGCATCTGGGTTGGATGACCAATGTGTTTGATAGTTGCTGGCAGAAATACTCCAGGTACAAGGGTATTTTATGTAATCAGTTGAGCGATCATGTAATTGTACGAGCCACAGTATACTAGAATAATCGAAAGAATGTAATTACTAATTTTCTGTTTCAATATTGTATACTGGTATATAACCCCCGACTAATGCGTACCAACAGGTACGGCATAGTAATTATAATTCTCTGATGAGAGACCTACTACAGCTAGACTACAAATACATGTATACACTTTGAGACACTCCCCTTCTATAAGATTCCCCCAATGACTCGAATAATGTGGACTCTTCGACGATTCCCTAGAAGATTCTCGATACATCTGTCATGCTCATGAACCTTCAGTCTGCTTCCTGAAGGATCATTGAGAATCTTCTAAGCTCTGTGTATTCCGAGATCCTTCCCGAATATTCCCTTGCTGTCATTGCCTGCGCTAGCCGGCGTTGGCTACAGAAATCCTTGGGCATAATAGCCGTTACAACTGGAGGCTTGCGTGAGCGCTGGAACTTACATATATCCGGAAAAAATACAACCTTTGACCTATTCAGCTGGATATTGGGACTCCACCAGATATTACAGTCCTACCTCTTTAGTGCACTCCTCCTATTTAGGTCGTAAACATCTACCCGCGACCTCGAGCTCATATGCCTGAGAGCCTAAGACCTCTCTTAAGCTGGCCAGTCAAGCCCAAGTCCATAATTGTGAGAGATTTTAATCTTCAACAAGAGCCGTGAGAGCCTAACGCTTCCCGTTCACCTGGCATCAGCAGCTTTGTTGACTGGATTGAGAATCACTCATTGGAGTTGCCAGTGCCTTACAGAGTTCCTATTGTTAAGGCTTGTGCTGACAAGTTGTCAGGAAATGCCACTTAGTCAGCTGGGTGGTCAAGTAAAAGGTGTCCACATCCATAGTACATGACTGTTATGAATCTACTTATTGGCAGATTCTCGAAGCTGTTAAGCTGCCGAGGTCGAGACAATTTCGACCAAGACAAATCATCAAAGTCACAAACGTGCAAATGTGCAAAGTGATTACGAAGAGACAAATGAGGTAATTGTTGGAAATATCAAAGCTCCCAAATTCACATGTACAAATTATCATATTATCAAAATGGCGAGTTCCAATTAGGCAAATTTTCCAGAAAGCAAAGGCGATAGACCCAGAGTACAAATCCAAATGCCGTTGTCTCCGACTTATCCGAATCAAGAAGTTAACCCCTGCACCACCACATTCGGAGATCATGCAACAAGCTCCTAACAATAACACATATCTACCACTCAATGCTTACTGTACCAAATTGTACATCCTTGTTGAAAATGGAGACCCAGCGTGTTGTGGACATACGGGCCCTCCATTTCGTCTAGGTTCCCGACATGATCTTGTGGGTATTTAAGAGGTTGGAATGGGTAGTATAGTAGCGCTTCGGGCCACCTAATGGATACATGAGCGGCTGTATGGCGTGGGCACAAGGAGGTTATTAGGGGTTTTTCTATGCCTAGATGGCACCAGATTTGTTTATGCTTTGGCTTAGACTCTGTGTCGCTTACATTTGTACTTTTTTTTTGCATCAGATTTTAATTGCGTATGCAGCTATCTAGCTATGGCAAAATACCAAAGAAAAGTAAATAATAGATGACTCAGTTTAAAGGAAGAGCACTCATGCCTCGGGTGTCATTTGCAGGTACCACTGCGAAGTTATGGCAGCTTTTTCTTCATCCCAAGTCAACCCTCATCCGTGGATACCCACCCAGGGGAACATCTCAAAAACCCTGAGTTATCCAGACATGCCTCCATTATCTTTCAACTTTTCTCCGCGCGAAAGATGGTCTTAGTTGTCTCCTTCCCAGGTGGAGTAGGTGCCCAGGCTACTCAAACCATACCAGAGACACCACCAGGAGGCGGACCACAACGCCTTCCAGCGTTTGCTTGTGTTTATAGTGTCAGCTTGTTGTGCTGGCTCGGTTGAGTTGTTAGGAGACAGGGGAACGGAGGATGGGCTGCTGGATTAGGAAAGGCTGGAAAATACAGGCTGGTGCACAGACGCTGTTCATGTACTCTACAATCTCTTCACCTGCCGAGTTTAATAAATCGATCTATCCAAAATAATATCATACTTCACATCATCCATTAGATGATATTATCAATCGTCGGGATGCACATCTAGCATCACCTTCATAGATCACCATCGTCAGTAAGAGTTCACATTTGATACCTACTGACACCCATTTGGCCACAGTGATACGTACTCAGTGTCCATCGTGCCATCACCCAGCGTGAGCGCGCCATCTCCGCGACTCACCATTGCACATGAGCCCGTGTAAATCCACCGACGGACAGCAGAGACATAATTGCTATATACCTCACAGCTCATAACCACAACACAGCTGCACTCTTACAATGTACTTGTAGCGCACCCTTCCCACTCTTTTAGCTGTAATCCGAACATGACACTCTTTCAGCCAATTTCTACCTTCGTTCCATTAATATTTCGCCTATTTCATTGCGCAATATCTCCAACCATTCTCCACATATTTTATCTTACCAACTGTATTATCTTACTCTCGTGACCATACTTTCTCGATACCCAGCACGTGACAGCTATCATAAGCTGTGGACAAGCACGACGTTAAACTCAATCAAAATCAAAATAAACAAAAACAGAATTTCTCGCGAGACTGGTATGCATGGATTGCAAAAGCAAGCTCGGACAAGTAAAAGTTTTGAAACTTCTCTTTGGTGGGCACTTACAGAGGAGAGTCTACTGTTCCTGTAAGCAAACAAACCTCATGACGGTGCATGTGCATGAAATCTAAAGTACATGTTTCTCCGATGTCATGAGCTATCTAACGTCCACACAAATAATTAATTATTGTAAGCAGACTTGTGCTTGCATAAGTCTGGATCCAGTCCAAAAGCGAAAGCACGATCTGCGTGCAGGCATGTCAGACTAGTAATGATGATCAGGGGCGTCAATAGGGTAGAACTAGATATTATAGTGCTACGATGGACTCGTAGCACGGAGACAATTAATCAATTCACTCTTGTATTCGCTTTTACCTTTTGACGATTCACGTGACATTCACACCAAGACCTCTCCAAGTTTTACAATTATGGATTATTGCCAAATAAGGAAAACACATTAAGTAGTTAGGAAGACTAAAGGGGTAAGATTTTGAATTAAAAAACGAGACACAGTAGGTCAGAGTGATTAATATATAACTTTGAGCGTTAAGTTTTGGGTAAAATAGGTGTAGTCATAAACGCTGCTAATCCGTTACATCTCATTAAATATCGTCAATGTCTACCATTTTGTTTTGCTCATCATCTTCACTTTCGCTTCTTTCTTCATCAAACTCAAAATTGCAGTCACCATCGCCTTCCTGACCGTAAGTATCTGTTTCATTGATCTTAGCGCCCTCGGGCAGTTCTCCATATGCCTTTAGTGAACGAGCCTCGTCGGCAGAATACTTAACGATGACATCCCCTTTTTCATCTTGATATTCGCGCAAGGAGATGAGGATAATATCTCCTTGATTTATCCATATTTTTTTTCTTAATTTGCCGCGAATGTGTGCCATACGTCTTGAACTATCGAAGCAGAAGGCTTCAAGGCGACCATTGCCCAGCATCTTGAGGACTTGCGCGTACTCTAGTTTACCAGTAATTAGAAACAATGCAAGATAAACTCAACGCGTAAGTAGCTTCGAACCTTGGCCCTCTTCTTTGAAAATCAACTCTCGCTTCTCTTTGTCATTCTCATTTTTTCCGCGGCGACGGTTTTTACCTCCCTAAAGTAGCCACAAATGTTAGAGATTAACATTCTAGTTAAATAGGTTACATGCAGTAAATGACATGAAAAAAATGTTTAGAGATCCGTCATATCTAGCTCGAAAAGCCCACAAGCAGTTAAGGCATATAGCATGCTTACCTTACCCTTATTCTTAGGCATCATGCACTGACCTTTTTGGATTAGAGTGTTCTCTTCCTATACTTATTGCAGGATTAAGGTGATGAGTTGGATGGGGAAAAAAATATAGAGGGGTAATTTAATTTTCTATAAACAAGGTGTGGATATGTAGCTATTTGATAACCTAATTTATATATGTATTAATAGACGAAATAGATATTGGAAGGTGCAAATCAGGTGAGGTCACAACATGTGATGATGTATCAGATTAAGTCGGGATCCCGCCAAAGTGAAGTCTACCGTATGGCACACTAGTAATATCAAAAAAGCCTTCGGTATAGTTGGAGTAGCCTGGGTACCTACCCCACTTGGAAAGAAGACGCCTAAGATTATATATCGCGCGGAGAAAAGGTAATGGATGACGGTGGCATTTCTGGATAATTCAGGGGTTTTGAGACGTTCCCGTGGGTGGGTATCCACGGATGAGGGTTGACTTGGGATGAAGAAAAAGCTGCCATAACTTCGCAGTGGTACCTGCAAATGACACCCGAGGCATGAGTGCTCTTCCTTTAAACTGAGTCATCTATTATTTACTTTTCTTTGGTATTTTGCCATAGCTAGATGGCTGCATACGCAATTGACATCTGTTTGGATTAGACCGGGGCTAGGAATATGCAGAGATGCTCGGATATCTTTCAGGCTACTATTTCCCCTTGGGGTATAATCCTAAGGTCTATGGTTCAAAGTGTGAGAGGTTCAGTTTGATACATGTATGTTAAGCTGTTACATCAATGAATGTTTGTTGGAAATCTAGACTTAGTTTATATGAAGGTTTAGATTTCCAAGTATGATCATCAAGATCAATTGAATTGATTCAATTGCATATGATGAAGCTCAGCTAGGAGACATGAGGTTTAGTGGTATCTGAAATGCAGTGGAGAGGAAACGCTAACTTGCGATAATTGAGTGACTGGTTGTTGCTAGATCACTGGGGGTTTGGGATCACTAAAGACTTGGGGATCGGTATTTAAGGATAGACTTATTTGTACGTGTTAAACTAAGTAAACGAAAGATTAAATATTATTAACTTATATTGAGAAGAGAGTTCGATGTCCCATACAACTATCAATAAATCCATGTCCGAATTTGTACACTTGTTCTTCGAGATACTTCCTCCTAGGAATCCTTGCCAATATCTAGCATACTGTGCGCCTTAAATGCCTTGACAGCCCCGTTAACGTCCTCCATTTATACTAAGTCCTCCTCATTCATCTCACACATCACGATTTGTCTGGCCTGTTTAAACACTTTCCCTAGGTTTTCAAAGTTCTTATCTTTTGGAGCTGTCTGCGCTCCGCTGCCGTTAGTTGTGGTCGCCATCGTCGCTTTTTGCGATGCGTCGAAACCGCTGGATTTATCCATATCAGCACCCACAATTGCCATATTGAAGCACCCGAGGAGGGTAAAGGAGAAAAAAATAAGATTCTGTTGGAAATGGAGACACGGAGTGTTGTGGACGTACGGGCCCTCCATTTCGTCTAGGTTCCCGACACGATCTTATGTGTATTTAAGAGGTTGGAATAGGTAATATGGTAGCACTTCAGGCTACCTATTGGACATATGAGCGGCTGTATGGCGTAGGCGCAAGGAGGTTATTGGGGGGTTTCTATGCCTAGATGGCGACACACTCGTTTATGCTGTGGCTTAGGCTCTGTGTCGCTTACACTTGTACTTTTTTTTTTAAATCATTTGATGTGTATTCAGCTATCGAGCTATGACACATGACCGGTGCTATGTATACATTTGGGATGACTCTTTTGACGTTAGAGACACTCATACTCTGGATTTCATTCGCAAATACCACTATGAGGTATGTTCGCTTACACAAACAGTCGACCCTCCTCCGTAAATACCCACCAAAGGGAAATTAAAAACCTTTGGTTATCCATGCATACCAGCGCCGCGAGAAATGTGGTTGTGTTTTGCCGGATTTGAACCAGCGATCTACTGTCTCGAGTGGGATATGTGTCCAAGCTATCCAGACTCTACTCGGCAGACCGGCCAGGACGATGTACCACTGCACCATGCAGCCATGGCAGTTTTTATAGTGTCGCCTGCACTCTCGCAACCGAAGGCTTGGCACGCACAAAGCTCAATTTGTATAACCTCCTTGCCAGAATTCGAAATTCCACGCCCGTCGAGACTGAATCCATCCTTCGCATCATCTTGTTAACTTGTCCCGAATCCTCTTACGCCCATCCCAAAGAACTGTCTCCCTGATTTGTGCGTCACGCTTTGTGTCCTCCGTCGGGTATAAATATCGGCGTGGGCGTGTATTTGGTGACTAGCTGAGGCCAGAGAGAGTCGAAAAGAGGTGTGATCATTGGAATAAAGATGTACTAGGTCGTACTTGTAGACTTGATGAGGCTTAGATAGGATTCGATCTTTTTTGGAATGAAAATTTGACGTAGTGGAGTTATTTGAATCATTGCCTCGTGGGCCAACGTGTTCGGTATTGCGAAATTTGACTGAACTTGGCTCTGGGAGAATATTTCACTCCCAGGCTCGTAGAGGACACCGCGTACAGGTGTTCAGTCTCGCCCTCCACACTTGTACTTGTAGCGCACATCTCCCACACGTTCAGCTTTAATCCGAACATGACACTCTTTTAGTCAACTTACCTCACGACCATTCTCACGAATTCTCGCAATCTACAGTACTTTATGACGACAAAAAAATCTTGCTGTCAAATAGGCTGGTGCGAGTTACTTTCGCGAGTCATCCCACATGTATACATAGCGCCGGTCATGTGTCATAGCTAGATAGCTGAATACACATTAAATGAAAAAAAAAAAAAGAGTTACTTTCGCAGCTTGATTTCGTCATCAAGACTTAGTCAGGAAAGGATTGTATCAAGGCTGACCTACTTCCCCGAAAATCTCAGGACCTCCGCAAATACAGCTTCAGCCCTCGATTATTGTACCAAAACCAAACTCTTATTCCAACTGACAGGCTTCATGGCTCGGTTATTCAACATCTTCAAAGCAACGGCAATTTCCATAAGTTAGGCAAGCACGTCACTTCTTAGCTCTCTCCCGCTATCATCAACTAGTCGAGAGAAGAGCCCCTAGACCGTAAAATAGCCTGGTTACTTGACTAAAGTCTTGTGAAGATTATCTGAGAGGGGAATTATAATTGCATGGCTCTGCTGTACTTCGACGTAATTGCTATTTAGTGGCGAGTCGCCGAGATGAGGCGCCCACGTTTGGTTGACAGCACGATTGGTACTGGGTGCGTATCGCTATAACCGATGAGTACCAGCAGGTTCTGTTGTGGAAACGTGAGCATGGTGTGGAAATTTCTATACATGCTAGTTACACGGTCTATGACATATACCCTAACTGGGGAGGCAAACCAATATGCATTGATCCGTTTGAAGTAGATTCAACCATGCTTTGGTGAAGCAGCTAATGGACATCATATATATTAATTACTGTGTCATGGTTTTGAATCTAGACTCGAGTGAGACTTAAGCAATGGGAGACGTCACTGAGTAGCACTATGGTAGTCATGTGAAGTGAATGCTAGCACGAAAGACGTGTAAACGATGCGGTAACATCTTTATGTTTAGATAGCAATCATATTATCATTCCTATACCTCTAGAATCATCAATCAATAATCTTCTAATAGGTACCAAACATGTACTGCTATTAACCATGGTGGTCTATGAGCTAGATACTCAATACGCACTCCAACGATTAATATCTTTTAATGGATAATAGGGAGAATGTTATTATCTTGACTGATACCCACTAAACCCAGCAGGTGAAGAGATTATATTATACATGAGCAGGGTCTGCGTATCATGCAATATTTTATACCCTTTCCTCATACGGCTGCCCTTCCTCTTCCTCGTCCAAGCAATGCTACCAAGCCGGCAAAATACAAGCTTTTAGAGGCAGTAAGGATGAATACCTAGCAAAGATAGTTGGAGAATTCACAATACTAGAGGAGATGCCTCGCTGGAAAAGGGTTCCACACTGAGAATGCGAGTTTCGTGAAAGGTTGCATACATCGAACAATGAACGGAGACTTCTCGTTGAGCAGAATTTCCTTTTGTTTGGGTTGCAAGTCAGTGAATTTATGATTATTTTTTCTGATGAATTAGTAAGGTAGCATTCACTTAATATATGTATCGGAGTTGGTGGATGTTGGAAAATATACTCTGTACGATATTATATGGATATATGTGATGAAGTAAAGAAGACTTGATATTTTACAACTATGGGAACATTGGACCTATACATCTAAGGGAGAAATTCCCGCTAGCCTCGTGTGCCTGTCAAACCTAGTGATGACCAGCCACCTCTCATCTACCATGATGGGCCAAGGTTCACTATAGTACGTAAACAGCTCTGAGAATTCGAATGAAATAGATTTAATGTCACTAGTTCCTGACATGGGGTCGCCATTTTCAAAGCATTCAAAAGTCATATAGTCTAGATTAACGACAAAGGATGAGATTGGAGTTTGGGAGATGTGATGTATATACATAGAGATGAGACATAGCTTGATGGACACGCACAAGAACTTCTTTTCTCAAACATCCTGACTGAGTCTATTTGATTGACACTTCAGTTCATGCAGAATATACGTGGTAGTTATTAGGAGTGTTGAAATTAGTGCTAGTTGTCAATGAAGACCATCATTGATACGGAATGTAAAAAGGCTTATTCCTTTACTAGTCAAATTCTTGGTTACTCATACATTGGCCAGCCACCTATCTTATACAGGGGGCGAGGAGCCGTGTCTTTTGCTTAGTTGTAATAGTTGGATTACATAACGCTCTGATACTCAGGGGTTAAATCAACAACTCTCGACTCTAGCTTTCCGACTCTTCAATTTCCCAACTCGCTCCACTAGGTGATATTAGATGGAAGCAAAAAAGTTCAAGCTTCTCTACACAACTCCCACTATAACGCTCCCATCATCTGTTGGAGCAACTGTTCGCTCTGTTGACGGGAATGGGGTTCATTCTAAATAC